TGGACGAGATCAAAAACCGTTCTGAGCAGTGGAAGAAGCATCTTTATAAGTGTGTTGCATCAGAGAGTACTTTAAAGGACTGAAGTTTAAACACGTAGGAATAAATACACAATTTTTAATAAATACATTCTAGTTTTTGGGTCTCCCCTCATACAGTGATTGTTCTACTGGATCTGGTTCTCTGGTGAACCCTGTCTAATATACCAAGCCTTTTAATTTGCTCAGTGCTCTTTCTCTGATACTGATACCTCATCCAGGGGCACAGTACAGAAAATCAGAGCAGTTCTCTTTGAGAACCAACTCTCATTTGTTATGCTGTTCTTTTTTTTTTTTGAGTTGGAGTCTCACTCTGTCACCCAGGCTGGAATGCAGTGGCTGCTCCTGGCCACCGCAGCATCGACCTGCTGGGCTCTGGTGATCCTTCTGCCTCAGCCTTCCAAGTAGCTGGAACTACAGGAGTGCACTACCACACCTGGCTAATTTTTTATTTATTATAGAGACGAAGTCTCGCCAAGTTGCCCAGGCTGGTCTCGAACCCGCGGGCTCAGGCAATCCACTCACCTAGACCTCCCAAAGCGCTGGGATTACAGGCTGAGCCACTGACCCGGCCTCTCAGGTTGTTCTTTAAATGGTCAGAAAAATGCCAGGACTGGATTAACGAGTCAGGACAAAATTCCCTTAAGGTGTCCACTGATGTCACCTCCCAGAAGGTTTTGCCTGACTCCAAGCCTTCACTGACTGCCCTGTGCCTCGAAGAAAGTCCCCGTTTCTTGCCTCATTCTGAATGTTTTCCAAACAGGGAGGGTAGGGCGAGGGCAGAGGCAGTAATTCTCAGCGTTCCGAGCTAAGGCATTAAACTCGCATTCAGGGCCTTGGTGGGCTTTGTGTGTTTCTTCTCTGCCTTTTTCTGACTCAGGGTTTTACTCTGAAGCCCAGGCTAGAATGCCGTGGCACTATCACAGCTCACCATAGCCTCAACCTCTTGGGCTCAGGTGATCCTTCTGCCTTAGCCTCCCAAGTAGCTGGGGCTACAGGTGTGCACCACCACGCCCAGCTAATTTAAAATAAAAATTTTTTAGAGACTAGATCTTGCTATGTTGCCCAGACTGGTCTCGAATTCCTGGGATCAAGTAATCCTCCTGCCTCAGCCTCCCATAGTGTTGGGATTATAGGCGTGAGCCACTTTACCTCTCTGTCTCCTTAAAAAAGCAATGAAGAAGCCTGGCATGATATCTCACGTCTATAATCCCAACATTTTGGGAGGCCAAGGTGTGAGGATTGCCTGAGCCTAGGTATTCAAGACTAGCCTGGGCAACTTGGCGAGGCCTCATCTCTACAATAAATCAAAAAATTATCTGGGCGTGGTGGCGTGTGCCTGTAGTTCCAGCTACTTGGAAGGCTGAGGCAGAAGGATCGCCTGACCCCAGCAGGTGGAGGCTGTGGTAGCCGTGATTGTGCCACTGCACTCCAGCCTGGGTGACAAGAGTGAGACTCCAACTAAAAACAGACAAACAAAAAAACCAATGAAGAGAACCCACATGCCAAGAGACTCTTTACGAGTTTGGGAGGCACTTTGGGAGACCGAGATGAGAGGATTGCCTGAGTCCACAGGTTGGAGGCCAGCCTGGGCAACTTGGCGAGACCTTATCTCTACAATAAATAAAAAAATTAGCTGGGCATGGTGGCACATGCCTGTAGTTCCAGCTACTTGGAAGGCTGAGGCAGAAGGATCACCTGAGCCCTGTAGGTTGAGGCTGCAGTGGCCATGAGCGTGCCACAGCCCTCTAGCCTGGGTGCAAGAGTGAGACTCCGACTCCAAAAAGAAAAGAGTTTGGGAGGGAAAGAAACTGGTCCTCCCAGCACTACCAGAGAACGATGGGATCAAGCAAAGGCAGTCTTTAGGTCCTCATGGTGTGTGTCTGTTTCCTGCTTGTCATGTAACAACTTCCTGATGGTCGTCCCTCCCTGAAATCGCAAAAACCTCCTCTTGGTTCAGTTTTCACACAAAATGTGTGACACCCCTGCTGAGTGTCAGACACTGTGCTAGATGCTGTTGATGCAGTAGTGAGATGATCCACAGGGGTCTGTTCCTCGTGGAGTTTTATGGTCAAAATGAAAAAGACATGATGCTGTTTCAGTAAAGGGTAATGATTACGACGATTGTGGAAATAGCAAGGTGAAAGGGCAAGGGAAGCATTCCCAGTGGAAGGAATCACACAGAAGGGCCAGGTGTGATGGCACACATCTGTAATCCCAGCACTTTGGAAGTCAGAGGTAGGAAGATTGCTTGAGCCCAGGAATTAGAGATCAGCCTGGGTAAACATAGCAAGAGCTTATCGCTACAAAAAATCAAAAAATTAGCTGGGCATGGTGGACTACATGCCTGTAGTCCGTGCTACTTGAGATGCTGAGGCAGGAGGGTCATCTGAGCCCAGGAGGTAGAGATTGCAGTAAGCTGTGATCTTGCCACTGCAGTCCACCCCAAGGTGACAGAGTGAGATCTTGATCAAGGAAGGAAAGAGGGACGGAGGGAAGGAGGAAGGCTCAGAACGTGGACACAGTATAGAGAATAAGGTGGTGTTGGGGGCTGGTAGAAGCCTAAAGGTACAGGGTCTTGACCTGCTGTTCACTACTGCAGTCACCACGTACCTGTGGTCACAGAGCACTTGAAATGAGGTTAGTCCCAGTTTAAGTGTGCTACAAATATGAGACAGACTGGATTTCAGTTTAGTACCCCCAAAGTGTAATATGTCTCATTAATGATTTTATATTATGTATTAAAACAATATTTTGGATATATTGGGCTAAATAAAAATGTCAAAATAGTTTTTTTCTCTTTTTACTTTTTAGACATGGGCACTAGAAAATATTAAATGACCTTTGTGACTCAAGTTGTATTTCTGAGACTGGACTATTCTAAACTATGTTAAGAAACCTAGACTTTATCCTGAGAGCATTGGGAAATTTCTGGCATGTTTTAAATTGGGACGTGACATGATCAGTTTTGCATTTTCTTTTTTTTTTGAGTTGATCTCACTCTGTCACCCAGGTTGGAGTGCAGTGGTATGCTTATGGCCACTGCAGCCTCGAACTACTGGGCTCAGGAGATACTTCTGCCTCAGCTTTCCAAGTAGCCAGGACTACAAGCACGTGCCATCATGTCCGGCTAATTTTTTTTATTGCAGAGATGAGGTCTCACCAAGATGTCCAGGCTGGTCCCCAACCTGTGAGCTCAGGCAATCCTCTCACCTTGGCCTCCCAAAGTGCTGGGATCATAGGTGTGAGCCACCGCATCTGGCCCAGATTTGCATTTTCAAAAGATTCTTTGAGGAGACTGGATAGAAAGAAGTATTGTACCAAGGTTAAATTTTTTAGTTTTGATAAATGTTCTACAGCTGTGTAAGACGTTATCTTAAGGAGAAGCTGCAGGGTATAAACTATTTTTGTAACTTTCTCTAGGTCTAAAATTATCTAAAAAGCATGAACTGTTAAAACGGCTATATATCAGCAATTTCATATAGTACATTTTATGAAATTGTCAGACAAGCAACAATCAAAACTAAAGTACTAAAGCTACACTAATCTCACAGTATCATAACATGCTACAAACACTTGTTTTGGGGCAACATTTTCATCAAGATCTGAGCTTGCATTGACATTCAGCTAAAAACCCACACTCTATTCGAATGACTGACTTACAAGATTCCCATGGGAAAGTCTCAGATGCCAACTAGGACTGGAAAGAACACAGGAAAAGGGGCCTGGGGCACCCACACCACAAGGGCCTGGGAACGTGGTAGACAGAGAATACGTCCACTGTCTTCTTCTGTTCTCACTCCTGGAGCCCCTCCGCCGTGAGGAACTTGAGAGGAGTTAGGATGGTCTGAGTTCCCAACACCAGACCTACAGCAAAGCTGCAGAACAGCAAGTCCTCTTTCCAGCAGCTGTGTCACTCAGGTGGTCTTGTTTCCAAGAAAAGTGGCATCAACAGGTGCACAGATGACTTGAGGCCTGTCCCACCACTGGGGACAAGTTGCGTTAGTGGCCCTTACCATGGTGTTCAACAGTGAGCTAGATTCTAAAGTGGGTCTTATGGAAGATATTCTCATGACCACAAAGGGATTTCAGTGCCAACTAAAACAGTCATCTACAAAATTATACTCCGTACCCCAAGTAGCACTTATAGCCCCCAGTTCTACAATGAGTGACTAACAAGTGTTTCTCTTCAGAAGTGGGTTACCTTTCACGCAGCTTAAGTACCAATGTTTATCGTATTTGAGACATCACTTAACAGTCTGCACTACTTAACTAGAGGTGAGCACTTTATTGAGTAAGTCAGCCTTCTTCATGGGCCACAGTAGTTCCATTGCTTGTAATTATTCACTGTGGTGTTCCCTTTAATGGTAATGCTATTTAACAAGACTTTGCTGAGAGTCACAGCTGTATTTCAACCCTAAACTATCCAAATGTACAAGAATGTTTAAAAATGAAAGTGTGGTTTCTTAGAACTGCGGGCTCGCACCTCACCTCACCAAATACACAACTATCTGGCCTCACTTTACCCGCTCTCTAAATTGACTTGTGTTAAAGACATGGTTCAACAGTATTTTTTTGAGACAGGGTCTCACTCTTGCCCAGGCTGGAGTGCAGTGGGGCCATCCTCACTCAGATCAACCTCAACTTCCTGGACTCAGGCCTTCTACCTTAGCCTCCCAAGTAGCTGAAACTACAGGCGCGCCACCACTTTGCTAATTTTTGTATTTTTTGTAGAGATGAGGTCTCGGTATGTTTCCCGGGCTGGTCTCAAACTCCTGGGCTCGAATGATTTTCCTGTCTCAAGACTCACGAAGTGTGAACCACTGCACCTGGCTGACATGTTCCTTCGGTTCTAAATGTGAACGAGACCCTCAGAGAACTTCAAACACTAAGTCCTTGGATAGTGTAAGTGATCAGTGTTAAGGTGAGAGAATGGTTTTCAACAAATGCAATAAACCAATTATATATACCAAAGGAAATTCTTTATTGTAAACAAGATATAAAGTACAACAAAAGAGATGTTGTGCAAATTGTAAGTCACAAGGTTCTTTTTTTTTTTAATTAAGAGAAAACTTTTTTTGTCTTCCAAAGGTCTGAGATTTGATGTCAGAAATCTACACTCAATATACAGAAAAATGTTAAATGGGAAGATAATAGTGACATTTTTCACTATATTTTAAATAATTGACTTTTGTCACTGTGTATATCATCCACTATATAACAGAATATAACAGAAATACTGTTAACAGAAGTGAATGTTCTAATAATAATTTGTATACTCACCTACATCCACATCCCAAAAAAACTCCTATAAATTAAAAGGACACCATTTGTCCATCTGTGAATAATGGTCACTAACTTTCTAATTCAATCAAACAAACATCATATTCTTATAACATAAGGGTGCTTTCCTGATGACATAAGCCATCTTTTTCAAGGAGTTATCTAAAATTCTTGATATCCCTTCTTGATAATATATATTTTCATCTTCAGATCTGTATTCTAAACAAAGTGCAGTGTATCTTACTTAGAGTCTACAGAAAACACATTGGTATACGATTTTCAAATCTACACAAGAAACTGCAGGCAAACTAAAGCTCAACGCAAAATAAAATGCCTAGATATAGTCTTTTGTTAAACTTTCAGAACAAAAATGCAAAAAAAGATTGTAGCTATACTTCAAAGCAGTTAAATTACGGAGGATTCCAATTCTTTGGACCCTCTTAGCAGTTTACAGCCGTTCAATTCCAAATATTAACAAGTGTAAAAATGATAGTTCTAGATATATTTAATAGCTACATCCACAAAGTTGACTGGAAAGACTAGGAATAGTAAACAAGATAACTCGAGAAAAAGATGACGATATCTGTAATAACACAAACTGATTTTACATCTCCATCTCTGTACCGTAATGTTTATTTCATCTCTATTTCCTTGAAACCAGTGCTTTAGAAGAATCACATTGAAAAGTTGGTCTCAAGTATAAACAGCAAAAGTAAAGTAAAAAATGTGCACATAAACTCAAAACCGGTGCTGTGTTGACCTTATCTGAAACCTTCAAAAAATATTCAAAGGAATAAAAGCTTCCTCATCTCTCTTATGTCGTAAGAAATGAAACCTGTCGTTCTGTGACCTGCCTGTGGCCAAAGCCTGTCTTGTCATCTCTGCCCAGGCTGGGCCTCCACGCCAGGCTGCGGGGACTCAGCTTTCAGCCCACGCAGGAGGGACACAGACTTGCGGTGGAAGCGTTTTCCATCACCACTGGCTCCCAGCTGTGACCAAAGTTAGGTGACTTTTCACTTTCTGGTCTGTCACTGTGTGGGAGCTGGGGTTGGAGGTAGGGCAATGTCGTTTAACTTGCTCACTTCCATTTGCCAGTTTGGTAGCTTCTTGGCTGACAGATGGCGCCGGGCATGCTTGGTCAAATGGTCACTCCTCATGAACCGCCGGTCACACATGGGACAGGCAAACTTCTTCTCACCTGTGTGGGTTCGCCGGTGCCTGGACAGTTCATCAGAACGGGCAAACCTCCTTTCACAACCTTTCCAGCTACAGCTGAAAGGCTTTTCTCCTGGGGAAAAAAAAGAAATTCGGATCACTGTTATACAGTCATCAAATTACTGCAAACTTTATGCTCAATGATAGCTAGACGTATACAAGATACTTTTATTTATTTTTTTGAGTCAGTGTCTCATTCTGTTGCCCAGTCTGGAATACAGTTTACATGATCACGGCTCACCACAGCCTCTATCTCCTGGGTTCAGGTGATCCTTCTGCCTCCTGAGCAGTTGAGACTACAGGCGTGTCACCACATCCAGCTAATTTTTTATTTTTGTAGAGACAAGGTCTTGCTATGTTGCTCAGGCTGGTCTCGAACTCCCGGGCTCAAGCAATTCTCCTGCCTTGGCCTCCCAAAGTGCTGGGATTACAAGTGTGAGCCATCACATCTGGCAGGAGATACATTTTAAAATAATAAAAGATACTACTTATTTATTATTCAATAAACTGTCAAATAAGTGTCAAATGTATACTGCTCCAATTTCATCTTGTTACAATCACATTTAGAAGTCTGCTGGGTGAGGTAGCATGTACCAGTACTCCAGAGACAGAGGCAGGAGGATCACCTGAGGCCAGCAGTTGAAGGCCAGTCTGGGCAATACCGTGACTTATTTTTTTTTTTAAAAAGGCAAAAATGAAAACATTTTCTGACCTCAACTATGGTTCTAAGGCTTTAAACATACTTTATTAAAGTAACTTTTACCAAATTATCACTTGAGGTTAAAACAAAAGCGCCCTGATAAAGTCTTGAAGGACCTGGCACTGCTAAGTAGCATTTACCGCACTAGCTAAGGTCAGTTCTTCCTTAATATGCCTGGTTATATTTGTGATCACAGCCAAAGCCTCCTCATTTAAGCACTAAAGCCATAAACAAGAGTGGTTGGTACCTGTGTGTGTTCTTGTGTGGGCCTTCAGATGGGAACTTTTAAAGTATGTCTTGCCACATCCTGGGTGGCTACAGATGTGACTCCTTATCCTTGATGAGTCGATCTGAGGAGTGACTTTGGCTGCCGAAGGGCAAAACCCGGGAGCAGGGGCAATGGGAGAGAGTCTGGTGCCATTTGGGCTCACCACTGGAGGCTTTGGGCTCTGCACAACGGGCTGGGGTACCACAAACATGACAGCGCCTTTGGGCACCTGAGTGCCCATGAACACGACAGGGGGGCAGACGGCGGGCGGCTGGCTGGGCGGAGTGCTGGGAACGACTGTTGTCACGACAGGGTTGTTTGCAGGAAGGGGAACCATCTGGCAGATGACCGGCATAGGCGGCACTCCCCCCGAGGACACTGCAGGTGGAGGGACCAACATCGACTTCTGTTGGGGGGACATGGGGGCTGCTTGAGACCTACAGATGACAGTCTCTGAGGAAGGCACGGGAAAGTCATACAGTGCAGCACCGGCTTTCTCATCAACATCTGCCACTGCGCTCCTCTCACACTTGGGTCTGTTTGGTGACACAGCAGCACATGGTATGTTTTTTCTTGCAGCCTCAGCAGATAGGTGGGTTCTTCTTCGAAAAGAGTTGTCCTGAGAGTTGAGAATGCTGGCCACTTTCACTGGGCAAGACTGGTGGTTACACTGGGCATCAGCTGTATGACGAATCACACTTGTTGCCTGAGCCTTGGGGAGCTTGGGAGCAGATACTGGGCTATTTTCTTCCTCTTTGAAAGGTGCAGCAGTGTGAGGCTTGGCAGTATCCGACAGTGATTTGAAGTGTCCAGTAGATGGCACTGGTGCTATCAGATTTGACACTTGAGAGGGTTCGAAGTCAGATGGGCTGTAAGGTGGAGTCAAACACTAAAGAGAAGGCAAATACACAAGCATTGACAGCATGAGAAACTTAGAGTTCATTATGTAAATTACAAGAAACGAATTTACACCCATCTTAAAAATACTTAAATACTTACAAATGCTGGGATTGTGTGAAAATCAGGTGTCCCCGGAAGAAGATTCTCCTCCTCTGACATATCAGATACTGGGGTAACAGGTCTGTTTTCAATGTATTTCTTAAAATCAGACTTCCAACTGCAGCTCATTGACATAAGTGCTTCCACAGCTTCAAAGTCACTTTTCTCTGCAGTTTTGTTCCAGAAATACATGCTCTCTTTTGACCTTTCAGAAATAATTTCCATTCTTTCCTCCTATAAAGGCAAAAGATTAAAACTCATAAACCTATCTTTTGTTAAAATCTTGTGAGGTAGGTGACCCACTTTGTGGTTGTGGTAATAAAACTTTCGTTATACTTCCTTTCACATTTAGGCATAAATACTGACGTCCTTGCAAGGTAGAGAGAAACTTATTACCAGTAAGGGGACCAAAACTAGAGTTATCAATGCATCTGTGATCCAAAAGAGAAGCACTGGCTTAGAAAAGTTTTGTATTCTTTCCAGAGTAGCCACCTGCAATTGGGTCAGACTAAATAACTAAGGGAAGGCTTTTCAAAATACTACAGGTCTGATATGAGGTCTTTTAAGGTACAAATCCCTATAAATAGGCCAAACATTCTTATAAAGACAAAGTGTAGCAGACAGAGCTCTGGCCTGTTGCTGTGGGTCAGACCTTTGGAAAGTCAAATTGCACTTTGGGTCAAAAAAAAAAAAGCAAATAATAAGCGATCTTCAAGCAAATTATATTAGATTTGCTCGAGCCCAGGAGTTCAAGATCAGCCTGGGCAGCATAGCAAGACATCCTCTCAAAAAAAAAAAAATTAGGTTATTTGAAATCTAAAATTAGTTGATAACTTGATCATCTATGGTAAATAGAGATCAAGTAAAATATGTAGGAAAAAACAATTCCAAGCTTTTAGGGCATTTTCAGCCTCTTCGTGTTTGTGTTCCTTTTTGCTCAATCTACTCGACACAATGGTTTACCATGGGTAACTATGACTAGCTAATGCAATACTACTAAAAACTGGATAATCAAAAAACTCAGTATTCTATGTGGAATTTGCAGAAACCCAGACTGTAAAGAGTCGGCAATAGTCAAAACAGGATCAACTGCAGTTTCTTAAAGAACTGCCTGGTGACAAAATAACAGCACATGTTTTATACTTATTTGTATAACTTCTACCTAAGATTTTAAAGTTCTTCACACTTAAAAAAAAAAAATGGCACAGCCCACCACCTCTTCCCTTTTCCATTAAAAAAAAAAAAAAAAAAAAGGTCCAGACAGGTTTGGTCCAAGCAGAGATCGTGTAAAAATATCGAAAAACATTCTTTCCGTTGCAAGGCTTTATTCTCAGTGCTGCTTTTAAGAAACGCACGTCCCTTCGTGTCGAAATCCTAAGGAAACGAGCCACCGCTCTCGAAATATCGCTAACAACGCAATTGCATAATCGCGCCCGCCTTTATGTAAGCTGCAACGGACGGCGCGCGGGTGCGTAAAAGCCTCACGAAGCCGGCGCACAGAGAGGAAAGAAAGGCAGGCGGCGGGGAAGGAGAGCGGGAGCGGGGAAGGACAGGCAGGGAGGCGGGGAGGGCGGAAAGGGAGGGGGCGCGCGGCAGGAAAGGGAAGCGCGGCCGGCGGCGCGGGCGCGGGCGCGGGCGGGGGCGGCGGCGGGGGAGATCCTCGCCGGCGGGGACAGACGGACGGGGCCGCCCCGGCGCGGCGCGGCGCGCGGGTGA